GACAGTTCTCTAAATTCACGTGATAGTTTTCTAATTCAGTTTGATATAAATGCTAAACTCAATCGTAAAATGGCATATATAGTTGGGACAGAAAACTCTCACAAAGAACAAAAATTGTTATTCGGCTTAGTGTTTATGCTATCTAACCGTATCTGTTTAACAAGTTTCAATGTTCAAACAGAATTCGGTTGCCCCGTTCCATGAAACAAGTAAACTGATTCGATCGCACCGAACTTACCGAATTGCTGTTTCCACCACCAGATTACCCAACCACAAACCACACTGTTTTGTCAAACCGCAAAAACTCAAACTCAGATGAACCAAATAACGACTTTTGGTCAGTGCGGCACATAGCACACGACAACCACGCTCGCCCAGACTGGAATTCGAAAGAAAAAGAAAAATCCGGTGAACCTCACAAAGAAAAAATCGATGCATTGCTTACTCGTTAAAATCCAGAACCAAATCACGCAATGTGCGCGAGTAGGCAGTCGCTGCGGCCAAATGTCCCACACTTTTTGCATCCATAAAACAATCAATCAATTCGACTCTTGTTAAAGGATAACATCCTCTGGAAATCATGCCAGCCTAACTGGTATATGATCTATCTTTTTTCGCCTGTCCATCGACAGGCATGATACTTACCAGGGCCATTGAGTCATCATTTTCCACGTGACAATCCCAAACGTAAAATTCTTGCAATTGTGTATACCGGCGTGCTCGCAACGATTCAATTAGCGGCAATACTTTAACCAACGGTTTCTCTTCCTTCAGTTGTTTAATTTTAATTTTTTTCCGCCGGAATCCTTCTTCCAAATCACCAGACAATGCTTTAATCATTTTATCGTCATCCCAATACTCAACCAGACGACGATCCTGTGGATCCACCAGGAACTAGGTGAGGGATTATCAATTTGATGGAACGGGAAAGAGATACTTGCTCGTGTAACCACTCGGTCCTCATCCAGCGCTTTTTTCATTTGTCTGCGAATCGAGCCAGCTACCGAAGTTTCATATTTTTCCGCACGGATCTCATAGTCTCGTAACAGCTCACGCATTGTGCGAACAGCGATCGATTCACTGCTCTGTCAGTTTGGTCAGGGTTACCGCATGCCCAGAAAGCGGAATTACCTTTTTTGCACCCACAACCTGTTGCTTCGGAGGCATCGATTAGCTAAAATGAAAACAAACAAAAAGAAGCAACCCAGTCAGTAAAGCTCTTACAGCTGGGTTGTTAAACACGCAATTGTTATAATTCTTCGAGGCGGTGCTCGGTCGAGCATAGTACTTTATCGGGGACCACAGATAGGACATCAGTAATTTGGCATACATAAGACAGCAAATCTCATCAAATACACATCATCGCAGTTCGTGGCCGCAGAGCGGGTATTGAATGTAGCAACCGATAGTTATTTTTCGAGATTTGCCCTCGGTGATCTTGTTGATGTTTGTTTGTTAAAATGAATCGCCAACTATGCTAACCACTACTCACTTGTGAGTAGTATCTCACAACATAATCCTTTTCGAAACCACTGCAATCTGCACAAAGAATGCTCTTGTTTGGTTACTTACCAATCAAATCGCATAGTTTACAAACTAAAATGGGGTAAATATACGTTTTCTTCACAAAACCATGACATGGTTTTATACCTCAAAACGACTTTGTAAAAACACCAAGCCAATAAGAAACCAGTTATGATGTTATGGTGCTCGGACTACGGAAAAAGTAACTAGCCGGTTGAATGAATGCAAGAGTATAGAGGGATGCTACCTTGACTTTAGTAAGGCGTTCGACTCCGGGAACGACCGCCTAATGTTGATGAAGCTGGAAGCCATCGGCATAAAAGAACAGGTACATAACTGGATATCTGATCCCCTAAATGGGAGAAATTTCAACTTAAGGTAGGGTATTTCCAAGCCCATTCTGAGGAACTTCATTAGGGGAGTACCTCAGTGTTATGTCTTAATGTCAAGCGGATGTGATCGATACGTACGCCTCTTGTCTAGGCCCCAACAACTGGAGAAAGAACACTGCTGAGAAACGACAGTCAGAGTGTATATTTGATCATGACACAACAAGCAAATATCTGTGGTCAGTTGGGCGTACGCGAGCAGACGTGGTGACGCGCCAATCAGATCGTGACCTTGACACTCAGGTTGATCGACCGGACGACAGCTATTTGATTCGCCTTA